ATGATGAGGGAAAGCAAATCCATTTTTGGTTGTTATCCTCAATCCTGATCTGATTTTCATAAACTCCAAATTGAAATAGACCCTTTATCACCTCTACATTTTTCTTTATAAATTCTCTGAGGTATCCATTACTTAGACAAATCCGTGCCAGTTTGTCTAACTCCTCGTCCCAGAACTCAGTGTCCTTTAGTCGTAAGCTTCTGATGATCAAACACCTCAGTACTCCGATCTTCACTCTGTAGTTATGATAAACTGAAAATTACGGATTATTCCCGCATACGAATTCTTTCTGTATAATTTCCTCATGAGTGTCCCTCTGAACCGTATGACTTCTATATCCAGAAAGGGTAGTCGTTTATCTTCCTCCACCTCCATTGTAAACTTTATTCTTTCATCAAGTTGGTTAATGAAATTAAGGAATTCACTTAAATTTTCCTTACCATGTGACCAAAGTGCACATTAGTCATCGAAGTATCGTATGAACACTCTCGGTTGCAGTGGTAACTTCTCGAATTCCCTTTCCAACTTGTCCATGTATACATTTGCCAAAAGAGGTGGAGTAGAGATCCTATCGGTAGTCCAAATATTTGCTCATAGATAATGCCGTTAAATGTGAAATATGTTGTCATAACTGTCAGGCTGATTAGTCGTGTTAACGACTCCTTCCGTATCCGTTCTGCGTCTAGGACAACGAAAGGAGACTGCAACCACACAAAAGGCCACATTATCTTGGTCTTCATACCTTACTTTTTCTTAACTTTCATTTCTCCTTCATCACCCCTTTAAAATGATGTCTCTTTCACATGTTGAATAGATATCCTTGAGTGAAGCATCTTCTTGTAGATGCCCTCGCTAGGGCTTTAAGTCTGCCTAGGCAGCAAGTAAAAAACTCGCTTACTCTTGTCTTTTGCAATCTCTTGTTTATCAAGTTCCTTTAAAAAAGGATGCCTATAGCCTTTTTGATCTTCTGTTTTCTGGTGTTCTCACCATATGAGCCAAGTCTTTCCGATGCACTCCAGTTAGCTGTGTGTCCGGTCAGGACAATATGTTCAGTTATTTCCGATCATTCCGTATCCATTTTTCTGTATAGTCGTTGCTGCTCTTTGATACTTGTGTCGACTGTCCTTACAGTATCTCCGATATATTTTTGCTAACAGTCCCTGCAGTTTATGCAAGGACTGCATTCTGTTGATTTTTCATGTTGCGTGAAGAGGTTGATGAAGAGGCTTATTCTTAACATTAGCATCATACGAATGTTCATTTTTATTGGTAGCGATCGCAGTTTAGAGCCAGCTTGCAGAAGAGTAGATAAATAAACAGTTTTTCCTCTGTCCCCTTTGCTTTTCTTTCATTTTCCAGGCCACACCATTTGCTCATCACAATCTGTATATTGCGTTGCACTGTTTTTTTAATATTTGTTTCCAAGAAATATCTGGGTTAGGTGCTTTATTCATCTTTCCATACTCCGGAATATTCCAATCTTCATTCCATAAGTATGCTTAGAATGAAAGTTAAGGGTTATCCTTGCATGTGATTTCCTTTGAAACAGGTGTTTCTGAACAGCCTCATCTGAGCGAATGACCTCCACATTCAAGAAAGATGAGTGTCCGTTCTCTTCCACATCCATTTTCAATTTGACTTTTTTATCCATGTTGTTTAAAAATATCAGGAAACTGTATAATTTTTCTTTTACATGTGACTGGAGTGGTCATCCAAATATCACATAATTATTCTTAGCTACTGAGGCGACGTTTTGAAATTCTCCTCCAAT